TTTTGGGTCCCGGGGACTCATGATTGGATCCACGAGTGATCCTCCGTACTGTTCCTACGGTACTCGTTGCAATGCTGTGGTCAGAATCCTGTTAGAAACAGGGCCATTGGAGATACTGCATAGGAGTTTACTAAAAGCATTCCAGCAGCTTCCTCTGTCAGGATTGGGCTGATATGGATATGTAGTCAAAGGACGGTTGAGATCCAAACATTGATGGGAGGAGAAAAKACTGGGAGACAGTGTGTTGGTACCAGGAAGACACAATTCACTGAGCCATTGAACCTTGAGATACATGCAAACTGAATTTATCTGGTGGAGTGTACAGATGTGACCTTTTGAACCCCTTCCAGGTGGACTAGATGAAGAAGATAACACTGAATATGAATCACCAGAACAAGAAGAAGAACCTAGTACTAACAGTAACATGTGTGATGAAGAGGCCTTCACCAATGTTATCAAGGATCTGGAGCTAACCAGAATTGCAATTGACAAGAAATGACAGATGGTCCTAGTAGCACACAGACCAAGGAAGAAGTGGAACAAGCTTGGGGATGGAGATACCCCTTTGAGCCTCAGCAGAAACAATGAAGCAGACTGGAAGAAGGCCTTAGTAGCCTTCTGTAAGAGGTATGCTCCACACCAAGATGCCCAAGATACTGTCATCAGCTATCTCCATTCAGATGAGGTCAAGAACCCCCTGCATATCTCATGCCAAGCACATGCAGATAGGATCATTTCATGACTTTTTGTTCTTTTGTTGATGGGAGGAAAAAATCTGTTGCACACCCCTCTAAATGATGACCTCTGCCAGGAGGTAGTACACCAGCTTGTATTATAAGATTGTACATCTTGTCAATGTATAGAACTGAGGTGTTTGTAACAGTAGTATTTATTATACTTTTAGTAGTAATTCTACTAAATTACTGCAGATTGTTGAAACTGGTTATGTTAAGTGAAGGAGATTTCAGATTTCTACTACTGTATTAATGATCAATCCACTGCCATGGATTGTTTTTTAAACGAGGAGTTCGCACAATCTTTGGACCACTACTAGAATTGGAACACTTCCAGTTTTTATTGGTTTTCCCTAGAAATTGGCTGGACCTTCTTGAGGTTGTTTCATCACTTTTTTCAGAAACTAGTACTGTACTGAATAAGATAAGAAGCAAGAACAGAACATTTACAACGGTGGTAGACATTGCAATGACTGCATGCACATAGAAAGCCTCTAAGAATATTAGATTGAATCAAAGCTATTATGGACCAGAACCTTTTTGATGGAGCCGTATGCAATTGGGAAAGACAAGTTATCTAGTAGAAGTGCAGCAACAGAGAATGGGCTCTACGCATGAGCAAAACCCAGTAATTCGACTTGATCTTCTTCTCCTTCTTCTTGCTCTTTCATCTCCAATGACTGATTCACCTCTCTTAGGGATTTGAAAGTTTGGATCATGCCACTAAGCAATGGAAAAATGCTCAAAAAAATGAAAATTGAAACAACCACAGCAGCGGAGGCATCAGCAATTTCGGGCGTAACATTATCTGAAAATTTGGCTGAAAGGGACGCTGCAATTACGCAGAGACTTCGTAGAGTATCTGCAAACACATGCTGATAGCGCGACGTAAAAGGAGAACAATAAAATGAATATTTCGTGAGAAAATGTTAGATTCGTTAATTAACGTTTCTTTCAAACCGCCTACTGCTAAATGAAAGAGAACTATGTAATACTCACCGTATATGCGCTGCACATGTTGAGATTCGTTGCATCACTATCATCTTTGTCATCCAAAAAGCGACCATAAATGGAATCATCAGATACGCCACCTATAAAACGATCTTCAGAGGAATCGTTGGATCCATATGATGTGCTTTCTGTTGCAAGGAGTGTTGTTGGACATGAACACGGTTCGTCAAGGAGTGGGTTTTCTTGAGAGAGGGAATGCGCTTCGCATTTCTTTGTTTCGTCGGCTTCGATTTTATCAACGTTATCGATGTTAATGACATCCACATTGTCACAATAGTTGCCTTTGTTTGGTATACCATCTGCAGTTGGCCCTGACATCACTCTTGTTCTGTTCTTTTCCGTTTGTGTGACATTCACGATATCATCGTCGTTTCCTCTGTGTGTATTGTATCCAAGTGCATGGTTTGCGGATGCAAAGCAACCTACGTTCACTGCATCCAATATTAAGTTGATGAAACTAAAAAGAGCCATCAAGGTCACATTGGGTTCGGGTCGTGAGGAGTCGTCTCCTTCAAAATCCAGGATCAGGGTTTCAATCGATTCTTTCAAGACAAGTATTGTGAGAACCAAGAGCGTTGTAATTGACACGAGAGGCGGAACCAATTCCAACTGATAGGTGTATTTGCGGTATTCCAACACCATCTTGCTTTGTCTGAAAGATGTAAGACCGGTAGAATTTGAAGATGTATACTGCTGTTGAAGCTTGGTGGCATAAACCTCCTTTTGTCGCTCGGCAACCATATTGAAGAGGTAGGCAAGAGAATCAATCATCATCGCAATCGAATCCGTTAGCATTGCCTCCGATCCTGCCCAAATGGCAGCAGCGAGTTGCAATATTGCAAATGATTGAAAAGAGGTGAAAGCGATGCATAATAGTTTTTTGTTGGACGGCGGTTTCGATAACGCCTCATCAGTGTCTTGGTTCAGGTTTTGACTGTGTGAAGAACGATCACCCCCATCTTGAGACATACTTTGTCCAATGTAACCTATTGTTCGATACAATTAGAGAACATAGTTCAAAACAATTTTGTCGTGGAGTTCTCAGTGAATCCAAGATTTTGAAGTGTTTTCGGGGATTCTCGAGTTCAGTGACAGAGACAGTAAAGAAGACTGCCGTTGGGAACGGCAAGTAAATTGGTCGTCATTTTTTAGACCCTGAATTTGCGCGAAGCAGGAATCTCCAATCTCCAAATTGTACCATGTGTTTACGGTACGTACAGTACAGTGCGGTAAGATAGTTTTGATGGTCAAGAACCAGTGACGGGTGACAGACAGATTATTCAACAACTTTCTCGACTTGAGCTTGCGTCCTCCATCTCGCCCATGCTCGAAGTATTTCGGTAACTTTTTCCTGAAGTACTGTACTACTACGGATATCATAACAATTGATTGCGGCGCTAAGATAGTGGTTCCCATTGTTATTTTAATGATGCCATCCTTAGCCCAGTAGAACACAGTACAAAATGTACTGAGGTAGTTTGCAACTATTCTGGTGGCAGAGAACCAATCCAGCTTCTTTCTCAGAAGGCARAACATGCTGAAAATTTTGGGGAGCAACACTCAGTAGAGCTCTGTAGAATTTGTACTGAAAAAATTAAGGATCATGGCATCATTAAATTAACAATGGGGACCACTTTCTTAGTAACGTGATCAATTGTTATGATATCCGTAGTAAACGTAAAATAACAATTGAAATTACAAATTACTTTTAGTAACGTTCCAAATGCTAGTGTTAATGTAAGGAATGCGAAGTTAAGATTCCATATGTTAAGTGCATAGATGTAGGTAGGATCAGTACTAAAACCGGTGGCGGCACACTGGCAGGCCAGCAGCTGCTGATAGTAGAGCTGCTGGTCAGCAAGGACCAAGATTGGTCTTTTCGATGGTTCATAGTACAAATTCTGTGTAGAAACCCAGTAGAAAATGCAGATTGTTATCAAAATGGAATGGTTTTGATTCCTCATTCAAAATTGTACTGAGGCCTAGTATCGTGGCCTAAAAATACCTCTAGCACGCTAGAAAGAATGCACACTTTAGATAGAACTGTTCTTTCATTCTATTCAAAAAACTCAGTTCAAAGCAATCAACCGTGGGAATAGCTCTGTTTTAGACACTTCCACTCAACCTCAGACACTGTACTTGGTATCAATTGATTGATCTTCTCAATTGTCCATCCAACAAGCCTTGAACTGTAGCAAAGGACCCAGTAGAAGTCCTTATTTTGTTTGATTATTGTCACTTGTGTTTTTAACGACAGCTGCTTCCGTTGTCGGCAATCAGCACTCAGCAACATGAGCACAAATCCAGCAGATACAATAGCCAAGCTACGAGTCAATGCTGGACTATCAAGACTAACACAACAAGAAAGAGCTGAGCTCTCTCATCCTAAAAAGGGAGGGAGTAGAGGATATGATGGCTTCATTAGACAGCATGCACTGGAAAGGAAAGCTGCCTGTCTTCCTCCTATTTGGTGGGCTAGCGGCCTGAGTGCTGCAGGAGAACTGGCAATAGGAGCCAGCAGGGCAAACTGGTGGAGCGCAATATCTTTGACATGGTTTTGCTTGTTTGGATCTATCCAGATGAGATAGCAACTTTTATTTTCAACATTGGAGGACCTATCTACTCTAGTGCAGTCATCAGCAGGAGGTTGAAAAGATGGAACTTGCAAGGAAGACTGCCTCTAGTGTGGAAGCCTATCAAGCCTTCACACTAGAGAGTATGTGGAAGGCCAAGATCTTTTGAACCAAGCCCCCTCCTCTAGGGGGAGTGGGAGTTCCTAGGAGGAGGTTCATTGAAGTGGATGAGTTTGGTACTATGGATATGACCAAGACAAACATGAGCAAGAAAGGAATTTCCCTCAAGTGCTTTACAGCAAGGATCCCTGGAGCAAATCAGAGGATACAGAAGCTCACTATTATCCTTGCTGTGGAGGCAGGCAATCCAAGACTTCCTCCAGCAACTAGTAGAGGCAGTGCAGAGAATCCAAGGTGATGGATCAATGTGATTCAGCAAGTGGGAACCTCTGGTCCAGTCTTTGCACACTTTATTGATAGGATTTGCAAGGACATGGAGGCCAATCAAGTCCCTGGTGATACTGATAAGGAGAGGATCTTCCTGTGGGTCAATCTTGGCTCTCACTTGTCAACATTGGTGGGTCTGAAGGTTGCTATTAGACCAGATCCTAAACCAACTCTGTTTAGATCTATTCCTAGGCCACCTTACCAGCCAAAGTATGGACTGGTTGAATTCAAGATCTGTGATCTTGTCTCAGCAGTATCCAGAGAGGCCCAGCCTAATTGGACTACTACCAGTGATCTTGAAGCAGCAATTTACAGGGAGGCAGGAAGATCTATTAAAGGGGTTGATGCTACCTTTGATCACTGTGGATACAGTTTGGATGGGAACTATGACAATTAGGTGATAGCAAACAGCAACAACAGCACCTTGATGGTCTCCAGCAAGTGAGCTGGATTGAGGGAGTAGATGTAATGGACTGGAGGAATCCCCTGGAGCATGGCTTGCTGGCAAGTTGACTCCTTCTGGGCCTATGAAAGCCAAATCCTACTGGAGAGGCTTGGATTCCAGTCCCTATAGGAGCTTGCCTTTTAGCTTCATCCTCAGATACTCAATCAATTCAGATGAATTGACTAGATCAATTGAATAACAGTTGAGTTGTACTTCTATTTAAGAGGGATGCATCCCATGCAAGATCTGTCCTTGTCTATCTAGTACAGAAGTACTATTTGTATATAGTTTATCTTTAGTAGGAATCACAGTTACCAAGAGTAGTTGCAACAGACTTGAGCAATACACCAAAGACAAGCAAGCTGGACCTTTGAGTCAGCCTGGGCCTACAGTTCTAGATACTCAGTGAACGCGCTCAGAATCCATGTCCTACTACAGTTCATCTTTATGGTGTTTGATATCTACTAACTGCACTAGAAGGACTGCTATTCCCACTTGCACTACCACTGCCAAAGCTGCTCATACTATTATCTTCACAACTCTTCATCTTCATACGAGCCTCATGTTTGCGTTTGCATTCCTCCTCCAGTTTTTTCATACACTTTACACGGTTCTGCTCAAATAGCTCCTTTGATCTTCTAGTATTCCTTCTTGCTACTTCCTCAGCTGCAGCTGCTTTCTTTGCTGCTTCCTCAGCTGCTATTTTTGATTCCTTTGCTTCCTTTTCTGTTATCTTTGCTACTCTGTTTACTACGCCTTTTGGTTTCTTCTTTACCACTTGAGGCCGCTTCCACCCTGTACCTGGAGGAGGCTTCTTCCTTGCTAAGACCGGGACAGGCTTCCTTGCTGCAACAGACATCCCATCAGCTGGTTGCCATCTAGGCAAAAGAGTGTCCAGCATCAATTCTGCTGCTGCTACTGCTGCTGGTATCCAAGATGGCAAGTGAGCAGCTTGCAACTGAGCAGCTCCAGCAGCTGGCATCCAAGTAGCAACAGCAGCTGGCATAGAACCAGCTGGCATTCATGCACTGACAGCCTGTCTCTTCAAAGTTTTAATCAAGCCCTCACGGACTGAGCTTAATTCAGCAGTACTATCTGTAGTTGGTAGAGTTAGTTTGCTGTTAGTAACAATGGTTGTGTTGATGCTGCTTGGTGGAAGAACAACATCACTAACATCTCTACTGGTAGTAGTGTCCTCTGTGTCCTCATCCTCATTCTCAATATTCAATAAGAATTTCATGTACTCTGAGTTATCTCTCAACTCCTCATGGCTTGGAGGGTTCCAGTCGCTTCTGTCTGTTGCCTTCTTGTCATTTCTCACCTTGGTACAGTAGTCAGCTCTTCCAAGACCAAACCATTCATAGTAGTTGTGAAAGTTGCTGCTGTGAAAGAACTTGTGCATTACATTGCCACTAGTACAATCCCTCTTCTTAGAATTGCTGGCAATGATACAAAGAGGGATTTTGCACAGGTTGCACATACTGTAAGTATTTGCACTGCACCTATCACAGATATTTTATTCATTGACTTTGTAGGCCAAATTGCCTTCAGTCAAGTTCTTGCATACTTAGTCTGAGTGAAACAGAATCTACCATTTGCCTTGTGCTCTGCAATGGTTTGTAAGTTGTGGTATCATGCTAGCAACTTATCATTCTTAAGGAAAGCCTTGCATGCCCTTCTTCTAGTTGCTCTACCACTTCTAGATCTTCAATTTGATTTTGTGAATTGTCTGAGTCTAGTATCATAGTTATACACCTGCTCCACTGGGTCATACTTAATCATCTGCAAAACAAGCCTCTGGCAGAACTCACAATAGCTTATCACATTGCTTACCTTCCATTCATCACCAAGGCTCCAATCACCAGTACACTCTTTGTAGATATCATACAGTAGTAGCAATGGCCAACATCTTTGCATGATCAATTGCAGCATGGTATTATTTCCAGGATTTGTAACTGATGTTGGCTCTGGAGGTGTATGCATCAATATGATCTAGTTTGCCATAAGTAATATAAAGATAAACCTCACAAGACTCATTCGTTCCAATTCCCCACCACTGTTGCTTCTCTGTCCCCCTGTCTCTTTCTTTCTGGTGAATATAAAGAGATGAAGATGAAATAGAGTTCACTGATCCTAAATTATATTAAGCTCCTGTGCTTTGGAAAGAACAATGAACCCTCCTATAAGCTTTGGTTCCTTTGCTTGGATCACCTGGAAATTTCTTCACTACAGTTATAGGCTTGGCGAGACATGACACCTTGACTCTATGCTTCCCATTTGAATCACCTGCAGCATTCTTTGTACCGTATGGAAGTACTGCCCTGGTACCTTTTGCGGATATTCTGTACTTAGCAACTGTTCCCATCATCCCCAACCCTTTCTCACCAATCCAATCCAATCCAATCCAATCCAATCCAANCCAATCCAATCCAATCCAATCCAATCCAATCCAAGATGGAGTCTGATAGGAAGGAGTTGTCAGCAGTGACATGAGGAGATGATTTCCAAATCTTTCCAGGTCCAATATTACCAAGAACATAGCTGTCAACAATGTGGTGAACTTCAGCAGGGCCAATACATGAAGAATGCCTGTCATCACCA